TGCCTCCGGGTTCCTGCCCTGAGTTCCTACCTTGGGCTCCCTGATGAATTGTGACCTGGGAGATGTAAGACAAATAAACCCTTCCTTCCTCAAGTTGGTACTGGTCAGAGTGTTTTGTCACAGCAATTGAAGGCAAACTAGAACACCCAGTATGATATAAAGTTTCAGTAGTTTTTAAAAATTATTTATTTAATAACCACATGATTAGAAGAAGCATTTCATTATAGCATTAACATGTTCATTAACAATTTCCAAAGCAAAGATGCATCTTTTTCAATATTGGCTATAAATTTTTAGGTTCCCAATTGAATTAATACAATTATACAATATTGAACTCAGTAAAAACCCTATGACATAAAATTGACAGGTTTTAACCTTTAAAAAGGATCTCCATTTCATTTTAAAATATATTGTTTCATACAGAAAAACTCCTTTTTAATTACATAACAAGAAATAATGCCAGACAGGAGATACCTTCCTTTGAGTTGTTGGCCACGGTAGCCCAAGAGACTCTCAGACAGCAACCCAGCATAGAACTGGGAAAATGAACAGCAGACCCCAATCTTATCTAAAGGAATATTGACAACTGATTTCTGCTAGATGAGGAAGAGCTGATCTTCCTAACACAAGGAACTCTAGATAGGCTGACTAGATTCAGTGGATGGATAAGCACTGGAGAGTGGCTGGGGGCACCGACAACACAGTGGACAGTAACAGGGATTACAGAATATATGGGCTCCAGTGCAGGGGATTGTGGGTATATAGATGAATAAGATTGGGATGTTCTGTATAAAATATAGAAAAATCAACAAATTTTAAAAAATGAGTTATATTTGGGGAAGAAGCATAAAAATTTGCTCCATGTTTACTAGTAGAGGTGAGACACATTATCGTTGAAATTTACCCGATGATTTTATAACCATGCTCAGGTGGATCTCAGAAAATAACCAATGGTGACTAGTAATAATCAGATACATAGAGATTAGAGACGCATGTGCAAACATCTAAGTGTTAGTAGCTAAGGTAGTTTTGACCTGCACCTGATCATGTAGCCACTGCAACATCCAGGAGGGCTCTCACTTCCCTGGAGAATAAATACTTAGAAGACTTGTTTGTTCAGAGTGTGAAAGAAGAAAGAAAACTCTCCTAGGAAAGAAAATTCAGAGTGGGCCCAGGTTGCATATTATCTCAAAATATTAATTATCTGGATTTGATTTTCTGAAATTACTAGCTAAGTAGACTCTAGGGTGACATTTCCTAAATTGCTCTTCTGCATTTTATTTTGGGAAAGGGAAATAAGAGTGACAAAAGGCACAACTGTGAGGCAACATCTGGATCAAAGACTGCATTAAAGCCATAGGGACCGCCCTCAGGCTGGGTGAGGGGCAGAAAGTGGGGCCTCTTAATACCCAGTCTCATTTGGTAAGAGAAGAATAAAGGAGAATAAGCAAGCTAGTCTTTGTCCTAGAAGATGGGTATCAGTAGATGAGACTTCAGAAGAGGGTTTAAGTATTTCTTTAGAAAAATAAGATTCAGGAGCTAGAGAGAGGGGTTGGGAGAAAGAATTCAATGATGGTCAAAATAAAGATTCTAGAACATAATCCCTCCAGTTATGGAAGACTACTGGATGTTCAGAAAGTTAGGCAGTGCTTACTATCCAAGGACAAACTGGCTAGGATATCAGTACTCAGCTCTAATTTTCATGGTTAATTTTTCATCTGGGCAGTTTGAAGTCTATTTATTGACTCACAGCAAAGACCCATAGATATACTCATGAGAAGAGTGAGGGAAGCAGATATTGCTCAAAAGAAATGGTGATCACTTTCTGAAATTGGCATTTATGAAGTTAACACCTGAAGAGTCTTATTGCTTAGTACTTGGTACATGTGAAATAACTTGCAATCATATTAACTTTCTTTAGAAAACAGTCTGTCCCTAAAATTGTGTTTGTAGTCATTTCAGCAAAACACAGAGAAAGTAATTCTAGTACCCATCCCTCCCTGCTACCAGGTGCAGATTATTGAGGCAATATATTAGACTGAATCTTTTTATCCACACTTAGGCTTGCTCAGGCAAGTTCAATAGTACGTATGTAAAACACCATGCAGTAACAGAAAACCACTAGACAAATAAGGCTACAATAGTGACCTTCAAAATTTGTGACAGAATAATTGGGTAGTTTTATATTTAAAATTAGAAGCAGATTTCTTTGGAGATTTAAGATCGCTTAGTGAAAGAGGTTTCCCCCAGAGAGGGAAGGAACAAACAAGGCTGCATTCTCATCTTTAGAAATTAAAAGTTTAGTTGGAAGGAAATCACACTTACCAGTTAACCCTAGTTAAATAAAGAAAAAGTGGTCAATTTGACCATGCATATGCATCTGACAAACATTTTGTTAGGTTAGTGACCCTAGTTTCCTCTATACTACATGAAAAGTACTTTGTATTTTAGGACAGAGATCTGTTTTTCATTGCAGAATTTAAGTATTCTTTCCCAAATAACCATTTTTTTGAATTTGCAGTGTCTTGCCCTTCTTAAGTACTGGCTTTGCAGGGTAGTGGGGGATAGCAAGAAGAATCATTGAATTGTTTCCTTTTTAACATACTTTTATAAGTTCTTTGAGAATTTCACACATGGATGCAATGTATTTTTATCATATTCACCCCTGATTTCTCTCCAACTCCTCCCAGATCCTCCTTACAGCCTTATTCCCTCTCAACTTCTTGTCCTCTTCAGTGCAATTTGTGCTGCCCATATATAAGGGGCATAGGGCCATGCCCTGGAGCATGGCTACAGAAGATTGACTCTCCCCTATAAGCCAGCAGCTCTCAATAGCTCCTCAGCAGGGATGGGGCTTGTGAGCCTCTCCCCTCTTCATGCTGGATGCTGACTGAGCACATGCAGTTGAGTCTCCCATAATATATGCATTGTTCTGTCTAAAAAATGTGCTTTGCAAGTATTTCACAACAGCATAGAGGAATCCAGCAGTGCGCAGATAACTCACCATAAATGGGGTCCAAGTCTCCAACAGCAAAAACAGCCATGGTGCGTCTGGGAGTATGAATTCTCCACCTTTTTAGCCAGCACTGGAAACAGAAGAACACACCTCCACAGAGGAGAGCAACTGAGAAAATCAGCAGTACCAACCTGACATCAAAAGTAGCAGAGGAGGAGTGAGGTGGGCCATGAAGGAGTATAAGAGTGTCTGTCACTACTGCAAAGTGGACAGAGACTCAGTATAGGTGGAAGAAAACTGGGATGTCAAGGTTTTCAGGCAATGTCTCACCACCATACATTGGCAATGGACCTGGAAGGTGATGCTACCAACTGGAAATAATCGTTTGTTTTTTGAAAAAGTTAGTTTAAAAAGTGATGTTATTTTTCTTTCCTTCTTCCCTTCTCTTTTCCTCTCTGTTTCCTTCTTCCTTTTATTCAAACTTCCATCCATTCATTCAGTTAGTATTTAAACACACACATACACACACACACATACACACACACACACACACACACACACACACACATATGGGATCAGGGCCGTGGATTCAAGATAGACAATATTTGGTCTCTACCTTTGAGGAGCTGAGTATCTAACTGATAGACTGCTAATGTTAAGTTTGGAAAACACAACAGTGATGACGCTGGGACTTAGAACAACTATTTTAAAGTTTATGACGCTCATAAAGGTAGATCCTTATTCTGCTTTTCAGTAAAAAAAATTTGGAATCATTTAGAGCAATTTCAGCAAAGAGCAATTATTTTATCTTTAACAACTTTAGAATAAAGTTAAAGAATAAAGTCTAACTTTAGAATAAACTCCAAATCTTAAAAACAGTAAATTTCTTATCATAGGAGGTGTTCAGCAAACAGTAGCCAATGGCCTGAAAGCCATTGACTAGATGCCCCTAAAAATCCCCCTGTATGGTTTTATGTTCCATTTCAAATTATTTAGGAAGACAAGTGTGTATATACAATTATGTTTTATAAAGCAAATTGTGGAGAAACTTACCAGACATACCTGCCATTAGGGTGTTGATCATTATAATTTATACACCTGATAATAAAAGAGCAGAAAGTGTTAAAATTCCAGTGTCTTAAACACCATTCTTTGAGGCTGTAAACTTTGTACTTACTACACCTATTTACTCCACCCTCTATACCTGTTCCCAGTATAATAAGCAAATGTTTACCCTATGCCCACTCCGTTCCAGGCACTGAGAAGTAAGTTTGAAAGCATTACACAGGTAAACACAGCACTCCATGGCAGTAGCTTTGATTGGAAAATCAAATCCTCTGGAGCATAGGAGAGGTAGTGGCAAACATTTTAAAGTCACCATGTCATAGCTATTAGGAATCATTCCACCATTCTGGTTTTTCAGGTATCTAGAGCCCTTTACAATTCAGATGATCTAAGGAGGGTTTATAATCCCTGTTAATCTTTAGCATCAAGGTAGGAAATACCAAGCATCGGGCGATAGGTTTCTTTCTGACTAGATAATTGGTAAGAAAAGAAGTTATGCTGGTAGGAAAACAAAGGCATGCAGTCACAGCGTAGGTTACTGAGGAGCCTTGGAATTGATCTTTTCAGTGAGAAAGGCTGAATCACTTGTGTGTCTAGGCACAACTCAGTCATTTCTGAGAGGTTTTAGAAGATCATACCAAAGCAAAGGTCACAGTGGATTTAACTTGCCAGCTATAAAGATGTGCGTGCTGTTCAGCTCAGAGTACCTACTATGCCAGGCACGGTACACTGAATGCAGAGGGACTTCTTTCAGACTTCAGTACGTGGATGCTGTCATGGTGTCATGTGAGTGCACAATGGGAATTCATCCTCAGAGCCTCAAGGTTCTGAGGATGGAGCCACTTTTAGTCATGTCCCTGTCAGCCATCATAAAAGAGACATGAAAAGCTTGTCAGTTTGAAAACATTCCAAATTTATTGATCCCAGCATTCCTCAGGAGGTAGTATACCCTTATGTGTAGCATGTCTGAAATGCAACCTTAAGTTTTTTCCCTCAAGCATGATTAACACAGATACAACTGGTCAACTTGCAGAAGAGACGTAGACTCAAGAGTTCATTGTTGTATAGGGGGTTGGGCAGGCTGTGAGAGCCAGAGGTAGTGATGAATACAAAGAAACTGTATTTTCAATATAAAACAGGGCAGTTGAACATAGGAACCCACAGTGCTTGTGAAAGCATGCATAAGTCCTGTACAGGACCAAACCAAAGAAAACTCAGCTTGGGTGGGGAAGGTGGGCAATAAGCCCCAGTCCTAACAGAGGATCTATTGGCAATTGATAGCTACTGGGAGAGAATCAATTTTCCCTGAGTATGACACCAACTATGTTGACCACGCTCCAGAGGATGGACCCACACCCAAGAGATTTAAGGAATAAAACTTGGACTCAATAGACCTTAAAAAAATAATAGAGGACATTAAGTGAGGAGGGCGTAAAAAAAGTGGGAATGCATCTGAGAGGAGGCAAGAGAGGGGGTCTGAATATGATCAAAACACGTTGTATGAAATTCTCTAAGAATCAAAGCATTATTTCTTAAAAAAAAATTTCCCAAACCCAAAAGTCAGTCACTGAGGTAGAATTTTGTTTGCTTATTTTTGCTTCTTTGTTTTGTGCTTTGGATTTTTGGTTTGTTTTTATTTTTGAGCGCCTACAGTGGCTAGCAAAGTGTATCAACACAAGTGGCTAAAAGAAAAATGGAAACCCAATGTAATTTTAAAAAGAATCCCAATCGGGGCTGGAGAGATGGCTCAGCAGTTAAGAACACTGAGTATTCTGACAGAAGACCTGGGTTCAAATCCCAGAACCCACATGGCAGCTAACAACTCTCCATAATTCCAGTTCCAGGGGATCTGACAGCCTCTTCTGTCCTCCACGGGCATTGTATAACACAGGTGCACTTACTTATATGCAGGTAATACTCTCAAACACATAAAAATATAAAAATAATAATTTTTTTAAAAAAGTTAAAAAAAAGAATTCCAAAGTCAATTCATCTCCAGTGAAGGATCTTCAAGATAATTAATGATAGATGGGATACAATCCCATTGCTATGGGTTCTGGGGATTGAACTCAGGGAACTGTTTGTGCAATACTTTATCAACTGAGGACAGAGAATATTGATCAAATACTCCAATCATCTGTGTAAAGCAGGAACTATTTCTACAGCATCCAAGTAAAAAACAAATTCTTTGAGATAGCTTAGTATTTTTACACTATTTGAGTATTTGTAAGGTATGTACATCATACCTTACAATTAAATATTTAATTGTAATACCTTACAATTAAAATATCATAAAATTCAAAATTTTAAAATCATATTATCCTACTTAAGATATGAATGTAGGAGAAATTTCATGCTGTCTTAACCAATAACAAACCAGAAGCTCTTGTTTGAGAATCTTGACATCTATGCTCCTAGCTAGGAATATCTATTATTTTATCTCCTTCCAAATAGAAATCTCAAACCCTCTCCCTTTCCATGTCAAGATGATCTATACAACTTAAAGTCAATTCTAGGGAATAAGCACTTCATTTTATTCCTTAATTCTATCTTTTGAACCCCTGAACATTGATTTCTGTGCTCCCAACTACCCACCCTCATTTCCTTTTCTCTTTCTGAGCCCTTTGCACCCTCTGGTGGAGGTTCTGATAAAAGGGAAAAGAAGTTCCAGTGCGTTTTCAGTGTTTGCTACTGGGGATCATTTATTTCATCCTAAGCATTCTACACACTGCATACCTGAGCTCCAGAGTGGGAAAAACTTCAATTCACTAATTTGGTAAATTCAGGAAGAAACTTTTCAAGTTGCTCAGAGACAAGGAACCTAACCTAGAATATGAGTCTTCGCAGTCCACAGATGTCTTTCCTACTTACCAATTCCAGTTCTTTTTCAAATTTGATTTTTCAACAATAACTTTTGAGTCCTTAAATGTATCTGAACTCTAAAAGTATTATAATTGTTCAAATTTAAAACATAATATTTTCAGGGGTTGGAGAGATGGCTCAGTGGTTAAGAGCACTGGCTGCTCTTTCAGAGGACCTAGTTTCAGTTCCCAGCACCCACATGATGACTAACGACTGTCTGTAACTCCAGTTTCAGGGAGATACAATGCTCTCTTCTGGCCTCTTTGGGCAGTTCACACCCTGGGTGCACTTACATACATGCAGGCAAAACACTCATATACATACAATAAAAAATAAATAAAATAACGAAAATATAGTATTTTTAGAGTAGGAATAGTTTATATTTTGGAAAATGAAGTTATCATTCAGGGATTAATGTTAAAAAGATATGCGGAGAAGTGATACAAAATTACAAGTTTTAAGAAAACATTTGCAATGATTAGAATTCTCTACTAGTAGATGTCCAAGGACATAGTTTATGTCTCTACTAGAAAAACTAAGAAATGGTTCTTTCTTTACACAGTGGTTAGATTATTTGATCTTTGCTGCTGTTCTCTGTGCTGTGAATCCATGGACTGAAATGACAAATCATTAATTTGATGGATCCAAGAGGAAATTGACAGAGCTTCTCAGTGCCTCCTCAGTTGCTGTTACCCAGCGTTTCTACACCAAAAACTCCCTGGACCAAGTCCATGGCTTCAAGCGAAAGTCCTCACTTTAAACTCTCAGTGATATAAGGTAGGACCGCATTACTGTAATTCCCCTTGAGCAATTCAGAGCACTCAGTCATAGACTAAGCAATTTGTGCAGAGCAGCCTGAACTTGAGATCTTTGTGCCTCAACATCCCTCCAGAGTTCTGGGATTACAGCCATGGACCATCACACTCCGCCATTTTACTACTATTGGACAAAATGTTTAAAACCACTCAGCCAAGCAAAATGGTGATATATCCTGTAAGAAATCTATTAATACAATTAATTTACAGAATCCTTTATCTGTAAATCATATTCATTTTGGAAATCATTATGTACTCTTGGATAGTGTAATTTGTTATTTATGGTGAGGCAAATAGATTAAAAGCATAATTAGTTAAAAGGGGCAGCAACATGTTTTATTTCATATTATAATATTTAGATTTTGCACAATGCAGAACAATAGATTATGTATACTAAACATGCAATTATAAATACAAAATGAGTAAATCAGATCATAAAAGGGCCTGTCCCACATTTGGAAACAAATTTAGATAGAACCCATAATAGATTATTTTTATAGCAGCAAATGTATATAAACTGTCATGGTAGTGCTTTAGCATAAAAGTTGAGTCACTGAAAAATTACTCCTGGCTTATCAGAATCCACTTCTCACACAGCCTCCACCAGAGTCACTCTTCCTTCCCCAGTTTCTCCGCCTTTTCTTGCTTGCATGCTAATCCAAATCTTTCTCCTTTGTGTCTAGTTGGCACATGAATTTTGGAAAGTTGTTTTTCTTTTATGTTTTTAATTCCGGAAGGATATTTAGTGTTAACCATGTCTCTTGATCCTTTCCCCTGTAATCTAGTAGGTTTGTATGCAGAAAGATAATATTGTTTGGAGACTTTTACTCTGATAAAATAGCATGTTTTTTTTTATTATAGATTCATCTTCTAACACCATCCTATGTAACATTCAAGCTATTATTTCTATCTTCAATCTATTTACTTATTTTAAGTTACATCTCTGCAATCTCAGTTAATTCTCTGCCAGCTCTATCTTTATTTTGCTCTATTTTGAATTCTATGTGAGTCAGTTTCCTGATTTTTACTCAAAAGGAAAATAAAGATAATATAACAGCCTCTTAGATGTAAAATCATTTACCAAAAAAGAAATCATATCAAAGCATCAGTTAAATTTCTGCTTTGGATTGATTATCTCACTCTTATTCTCAATTTCTCCATGTGAAAAGGAGACTTGTAGCCTCATAAGCTGTAAAATCAGCTTAAATTGCTCCCTTGAGGGACTGGAGAGATGGCTCAGCAGTTAAGAACACTGAATGTTCTTGCAGAAGACCCAGACTCAAATCCCCGCACCCACACTGCAGGTAACAATTGTCTGAAACTCCAGTTCCAGGGGATCCAACTGCTTCTTCTGTCCTCTGTGGGCATTGCACTACACGGGTGCACTTACCTACATGCAAGCAATACATGCTTACACATAAAATAAAAATAAAAAAAAACATTAAAAAATGCTCCCTGATACCATTTTTCCTTACCATGTTGATTAATGAGAAGATTCAACATTTAAGGTCCTTCCCAATTATGTGTCTTTATTATAAAGGCAGAAAACAAAGAGGTGGCTTTGAGAGTCAGGTAAACACAGTCAAAAACTGTTAGGTCACAAGCAGTAGAAGACAGAGGACAAAAGCAGACCCAAAATGGATGCAAAGAAAAGGTGTTGAAGGTCATGTAGTGCAGAAAGAGTGACACACACTTAAGCAGATGATCAACAAGATGGATCCACATGCAACAGGTGAATGATCCTAAGCTAAGGACAGCACCCATTTGGCCTGGTCTCTTGCTTTAGAATCAGTGCCCAGAGACAGGGATTTGAGGGTATTAGGCACTGATAATTGCAAACAGCTGGCTGGCAGAGCATTGCAACCAGAGCACAGCACTTGGCAGAAGTGTTTTTCTGACACTTGTGCTAAGTCACACTGTGTTACAGTTCCCATTAATCACCATTGGCATTATTAATGGCACCTTCTCCTCATCTCCTAAATAGAATTCTGAGAACCATTAAGTCTATGGCACAAAAAGTAAGGAAATGAATCAATTATTCACATAATTTATACCGGATGCCCTTTGGAATACACACATGACACAGATTAGAATTTGGGTTAATTTGCTTATATTTGGCACTGAACTATTCTGAAACTGCCTCTTGTTATTTCCGTACTTACAAGTGGGATGTAAGGAGAGATGAAGTCCCAGTTCTCCCCTGACCTTAAAGGGCCCCTGAAACCTCCTGGGAGGAAGGCGCTGTAGAAAAAACACCTGGAAATACCAGATCCCTTACTTAATCAACAAAGCTTAGTGATGATTTTGTTTCCTGTTTTCTAGAAGATAAGATTTTTTTTTTCTTTTTTTAACGTGAGAATAAGTACTTACTTGAAAACCTTTCAGGCCTTTTCAAATAACTTGAATATGATTCTTTAAATTTTTAAAATGTTAAAAAAGAAGCATGGAATCTGTTGTTATTTACTTACATTTCATTTTCTTCACATGGTAGATCCGAGAGCACCATCTGAAACACATGTTTAAAACAATAAAATCGAAACATCTCATCAATCTAATCCTTTAATGCAAACAGAGCCCGGAGATAGTGTGGGTTTAAATCCAACCATTTTTTTTTTATTTAATTAAAAGCTCTGCAGCATAGTTTATTGTTGGTGCACAGAGTTTTAATTGGAAATAACTTCTCTGGATAGCTTCTTAAACTCAGCAGTAACAGATGTACTCAGACTCTTCTCTCCACACTACTAGAGATGATATGAAAGCAGTTATTTTTGTTTTCTCTGTGGATTTTACTTGCTCTGAAGAGCTCTTGCACACCTTGCATTTCATTGTTTTCATATTTTAGTGAGAGGTAGAAGGGTCATTATTTGAGTATTATTTTCACGCAAAGGAAAAGAGTTGCCAGTAAGGGGAAACAGTCCCAGTAGCGTTATTCATATGAATGAAGGGGTGACTTAATACTGAGGTCCATTTAAGATAATGTGGCAGTCCTGCAATAAAAACAAAACAAAACAAAACAAACCTTCTCCTCGTTAAAGTGGGAAAGTAGCCTTTGAGACGCCTAGACCCTAAGCAATATAAAACAAGATTATCTGTGTTGAACTTTGCAGGTTACAGCATTTCACACCCATAATCACATGAAAATAAAGACTTCTTCCTAGAGAATGCTAGTTTTACCCTAGTAATTGAGACTCCTTTGTTCAATGAGATCAATGAGAAAAGTTTTTAAACACCACTTACATGCACGAATAAGAAATTGGTCAGTGAGGCCAGCTGAAGCCATTATTTTACTGAACTCTCACATATTAATATGTACAAACAAGAAGTTACAAAATTAAAAATGATAGGCTTGAGCTTTCGTATGGGATGTGTGTTCCTCTCCTGACCCCAAATGTGTTTTCTTCAGCACCTTGTATTTATGCCACCACCAAGTTTATTTGGCAAAGAGATGTGCGAAACTACAGATGAAGCCATGAATTGGCCATCAGAGAGCAGGGTAATGAACAATTTATAAGCACAGAAAATGAGTTGCATTGTCTTTTGCAGAATGATGCAAAGAGGTTTGCATATTAACTGAGAGGAAAATGAACATTTAAATTTTTCCCATAAAGAAACTTTATTTATGAGTAGATGCAATCATTAGGGATCTAGCTTAACAGATAAACAGCCAGTATTTCACTTTCAAGTCACTTCTTAGTCTTCTCTGTCTGTTGTACTCTAGCAAGCAGTACATAGTATCCCATTATTGCCACTGAGCTGCCAGTGTATTAGCCGTCAGGCACCAGGTTGTTGTGAAAGAGTGAAGGAAGTTTTAATATGCTGTAGACCTAAATCCTTCCGATGCATTGCTTTCAAGTAACAGAGATATAGGGATGCAGTTTTTGCTCAGAAAGGGATACTGGCACAGAGAAACCAAATAAACCCTAAAATGGTTCTGTCTACATCAGTCAGCATTGAAAAACTGTCAAGAATCCAGTGTGATGCAGAAATTGGTAAACATTTCCTAAGTTCCTCCTGAAACAGTATGTCCATGTCAATATCACTTTTGAGTTTAAAAATATTTCAGAGCATAACAAAGTGAAGCAACATGTAAATTTGTGTTATGTTATTTCAGTAGCCATGTAGCTGTATAAGGAATAAATGAGACTGAGGTCAGGCATCTTTTGGCTTTTATTCTTGGAACAATAAATATTATAAATCATGGGATGCTAGTGCCACCTTGAAGGAAATCTTTTACATGCAGTAGTTAAATTACCCAAAGGACATACCTATAGCAAATCAAACTCTTAAGAGTACCTCATAAACGTCCCAGAAAGATCGCTGGTTACCTGGAATAGTAGCAAACACAGGCTTCCTGTTGTTGAGATTATGGAAGTGACATGGAAAGGCTGCATCTTGTCATACTAAAATGGATGATCTGCCCAGAACTAGTGGCTTACTAACTCTGAATAACTTTCTTTTTCAGAACTTGTTAGTGGCTCTATACTTATGCTTTCTCCCACAGCATGCATTAATGATGAACTCTGTGACTAATAAAAACATGCTGGGAAATGGAATGCTGGATGCAGTCTCACAAGTTCTAAGAACTCAAGGAGTTTAAGGTCAGAACCTTGGTTCTACTTGTTAAGGCCTTCAAATGCTGACCTGAAAAACTAGCTGGTTGTTTGAATAACTTTCAGCATTCAAGTGCATGTTTCATTCCAGAGAACTTGTGAGATAATTTTTTAAAGAAATGTATACTTACTTGGAACATTGATTCAATGTCCTACCCTTTGCAAGTTCTCTTTGCTCTTCATTCCCTACACATCACTTTCAGTGGGAGTCTAACCCATCCTTGAGTTTACAATGATCATACTAACAAGTTCAAATTTTCAAAATACAGTGAAGAGAGACAGGTATGGAGAAACATCCTTTCATATGTAAGAATACTGGGAGGCTATTAGGCAATATCTGTTAAACTAAAAGGCATAGTTTGGCCAAGACTTCACCTTCCAAAATGCATCCAATGTATGTAGATTATTTATACCTATATATGGTACACATGCTCATTTACAATGCTGTTCTCTAAAGAGCAAATGGCAATGTCCATCAGCATGGTCAAGTACAAAATTATTTTATTCATGCAACAGACTACAAGGAGACCATGCTGGTTACTCTCAGGAATAGTTTTAAAAGGTGGAGGCAGAATACAAACAAGAATGGAAAGGGGGCTCTTAGTGTTGTCTTTAAATAAAGGGACAAAACAAGGACTATTGCACGCATCATGTCACATATTATGCAAAAATAAAGACATAGTTATAATGTTTTCTATGTAAAATCTGAGCTATATACTTTTATGTACACAAAATGTCCACGTGGGGAAGTGAGAAGATGAGAGCTGAGAAGGGGAGGAAGACGGTCTCTCACTTTAGCTTCTTGCATTTTGCTGTGTCTATATGTTATCTAACCATTTTATACATACACAATTTCAAAGGGCCAAATTTGAAGTCAAATATCTAGAATTCAGAGGCATATTTCAGCTTAAATCCTAGTGTAACTCACCTAGTATAACTCATCAAATTCACATTATAATATATGAATCCATTTATATCACACACATAGCTTATACTGGAAAAAATAAGCCATATTAGTTAACTAAACTCCAACTCTGAACAGACCATTAAGGTATCTGTATTATTTGAGCTGCATCTGGGCTGGGTTAGGCAGGCTCAGTGCTGGCTATGGTCTGTTTAGTATGCAGCCACAGTCACAGCCATGAATTTCAAAGCAGAGGAAGGGCTCATTGCCAAGGCCAACAGGAGAAAAGTAAACGCAGCTTACAGTATATTATTTCTCCCTAAGACACCCTCCATTTTGAGTGTCTTTGAAGCCTGTAATTAAACAGAATGAAAAATAGGCTTTTCACTGGTGAACTTATTTATTAGTCGGTCAGAAGCCTGACTTCCGTTAGTGAAGTCAATGATCTTAAGAATTCCTGGGAAAGGAAGAGAAGGCCAGATGATGGGAAAAGAGATGGAATGGAAACAAGGGCAGCATGTTTGGTTTAGCCTTAGAAACTGGCATAATGACCAACCAGATAGGAAGATTAAATAATTCTGGTCTAACGGCACATGACAGTGCAGCAGGTGGCTGGCTAGCAGCATAGCTACTGAATGGAAATACAAGCTACAGGCACAGAGATGCTGGGAGCACCTCTGCTACATTTGTTGCTAAAATAAAATCATGCTCATTACCACCTTCCTTTCCCAGCTTTTCAGTTACCCATTTACATCTGTGACTTCTCCATGCCACTCTTAAGGCCGGCATCTTTGAGTAGACCTAAGTCTGTAATTTTTCTGTACATTTCCTCCCTGGCACCAGGCCAGTTGGTCAGTCCTGGGATGGGGGCAACTGACCATGAATGAAGAAAACTTTTACCTAAATTATTGTTTTTGCTTTTTATTTTAAGGTAACTGGAGATTTGCATGCAGTTTAAAGAACCATTGCAGAGACTGCATAGCCTCTTCCCCTAGTTTTCCCTAGTGGCAGCATTTTACTTACTAACCAACACTGATAGACTCCACTACCCTTACAGCCAGGTGTGGTGGTGCACGCCTTTAATCCCAGCACTCGGGAGGCAGAGGCAGGCGGATCTCTGAGTTCGAGGCCAGCCTGGTCTACATAGTGAGTTCCAGGCCAGCTGGGGCTACAGGGAGACCCTGTCTCAAAAAGACAAAAAAAAAATTATGTTGTATATTTTAAAGCTTATCTTTAACTGTGCTTATATGTATGAACTTGTGATAGTGAATTCTAATCACAAGAAACTCCAGTTGAAGATGGACAGCTGCTTTTCAAGATAATGAGCTCACTTAAGTTCATAGAGACTTCTATTTGAATACAAATGTTGAAGGGAACAAAGCTCTCAAAAATGGAAGAGAAGAAAAGGGATATGTTTTGATAATATGAAATCATACTTCTGGGTTTCCTGAGTACTTGCATGGTGGGCCTTAGAGCCTCAACTTAGTAATGAAAGCATGGGGACATACATATTTAACTGCTCAGTGCTAGCTGTTTTCCTTGATCTTCTCTTTGCTACAAAGAACTAAACACTGCCAACATGGATGAAGACCATTGAAGTTGAAAACTATTGTTTATATTCTCAGCCTGGCACAAACCCAAATTCCTTAAGCTCCCAAGTCATATTGATATATGTCCTCAAAAGTCATGGCATATGGCTATTAAACAGGAATCAAGGACCAAAATTTAAAGAACAAGAAACAAAGGGTATAAATACATGGGGGATACATAAAGGAAGGTCCAAAAGATCTAAAGGAGGTATTATATTCTCACTCATGGAAGGTGAGGGAGCAATAGCAAGCCCTAGAAGTTGGAGGTATTGGCTGACGTCACCACTAACCATCTTGTAACAAGGATGAAACAAGCTGTGCGTTTCACGGAGCGCTTCATGAATTTGGGAGTGATCCCTGCGCACACACTGACCTTTTCTGTCATTCCAATTATGCCAAATCCATTGCTGAAACAAGAGCTAAAAGAGTTACCTTCTCTAAAACTATACTATCTAAAATGATGATCATTTCAACTTATCTCCCTTAAATAACTTCATTTGGAAGATCAATGAAAATATCTACTTGAAATAAAACATTGCACAGATGTAACGAGCTCATCAATGGAGCAAAAATAAAATAAAAATTAAAATGATAAAGTAAAACAATGTAGAATTCCAAGTCAGTTCGGAAACCCATAGAAATCATCGCAGCGGGGGTAATATAAGGACTGAAAACGAGGCAGCATTTGGTCTTCACCTCTGGAGAGGAGAAATATTGATTACTTCACTAGATCTATGGTCAACTTTCAGTCTACCTCTCATTTAAATAAATGGGCATATCTGACACAGTTTAACGTCTTCTTCCTTTAAATGCTTTCTTCACCTAGCCTGCAGAACACGTCCTGGCTTACCTCCCACTTTGTTAATCACTTCTTTCTGTCTCCCTAGACTTGACATGTTAGGGGTATCCAAAGATTCAGACCTCACATCCCTTTCTTTTATATATCCACTCACTCAGCTATAATAGTTGGTCTCAAATTTTCATCTGCAAATTGCCCACTCCTAAATTCATGTTAAATCCTGGGTTAGTCCCCAAATTAGAAACTCAACTGCACATTCAGCCTTTGCCACCCTTTGAATGCCTATTCTATAAATAAACTGATCACAAGCCTAGCCTCTGATCTTTCTCTACCCTTTTCCCTCCACAGATTTTTCCCTATATTACTGCACCTCTTTTTTTTGGTTATTGTGCTGGTTAGTTTCTGTTATTTGACACAAACTTAGACATGCCTGGGAATAGGGAACCTCAACTGAGGAACTATTTCCATCAGTTTGACTTGTGGGCATATCTTTGAGGCATTTTTTAGTTCATAATTGATACTGGAAGACCTAGGCCACTGTGGGCAGTGCCATCCCTAGGCAGGTGGGCCTGGGCTATATAAGAAAGCTAGCTAAGCAAACCAGAGGAAGCAAATCAGTAAGCAGCATTCCTCAGTGGTCTCTGCTTCAGTTCCTGCCTCCAGGTTACTGTCTTGAGTTTCTGCCTGGCTTCCCACAATGATGGACTGTAAAGTGTAAGATGAAATAAACACTTTCCTCTCTCAAGGTTGTTTTGGTAACAAAGAGCAATCTAGACTGGCTGTTTAGACAGAAAAGGAATAACTGCTTTTGAGTTCTCTGTCTCATACAGTGATCGAGTCAATCTGAAAATTTCACAGCCTCTCTGTTCACATTACATAAAAACTTATACTGGTTTTCATTACAGTCATCAGCAACTTTTCACCCAAAAATTCATGTGATTCTTCTGTCACTGAATTATTGAGATATCTTCTTAGCAAGTGTTTGTGTTTTCACACCTGCCCACCTGCAGTGTTCCCTCAACTTAGCAGCCAATGTGATGTTCCTAACTGTGAGTCAGACCCTGTCATTTCTGAACACAAAGGCCTTGAGTAGCTCATTTCCATTAAAGTCAAATCACCCTACTCTGAAATGGTTTATAAAGCATCACAAGGTCGGTTTTCTTCTCTTTCAGCCTCAAATCCTTCTAGTGTGCTGCTCCCTGTCCTAGGCACCTGGCCCTCTTGTTTTTCTTGGTGTCACAGGCGTTCTGCCTCTCAGCCTGTATGCATGCTCTTCCTGTCATTGGGAATGCATCTCTCTCATGTGCTGCTGTGCTGCATTCTCCCTTAGCATTTTCTGGCCACTGTGCTTAACATGGCAGTAACCTCCTCCCAGTCAATGACCTTACTGTCTTTCTGTGACCATATTTTCCAAGGATTTTAGAAAATGCCAATGTGTGATACTACGTGACTGACAATTCTTCATTGTTGTTTTTTCCATCCTCTGGAG